ACTGAAATACCGCCAAACTGTTGAACGAAAGCCTGAAAGCCTTCTTTTCTCTGCCTAGCTTTAAAGGGAAGGCTTTAAGTTGGAGACGGAGTCCAAAGGAAGACTTTTAAACTGATGTCCAGGATAAGAAGAATGCTCAAACGTGTCTCATGCCAGAAGCTTCAAGCTCCAGTAAAACATAGTAAAACCATTGCGTGGTGACGTGGTGCGCTCTGAGAAGTCTTGCAAGTTACGTGGTTTCATGTTACATACGACATCATACGACCCTGAAAGCCAGTCAAGCTCCGGGCTCCCCAATAGGGAACAACCACAACGGCGGAGACCACGGTGAGCACCGTGCATAACCTCGACGACTTGGAAGGACCACGTCTCTTCCCCTTTCGGTCGGTCACCAGCGAAAAGAAGAGATACAAGGGACATTAAGGGAACCAACTCTTTTCCTAGTAGTAGCTTCTTGTTACTAATAGCTTCTTGTTCCTAGTAGTAAGGCACTTGTTACTAGAAGCGATGCACTTGTTCCTAGTAGCTTCTTGTTACTAATTCGACCCCCCCGTCCACAAATCCACACACACCACACATGCTGCATTCTCGCAGCACTTCTTCAGGAACAGTTGACCGTAACCAGTCACCAAAATCTGTTCCATTCCACATCTTCCGTGTACGATTCGTGTGGCCAAAAGCTGCGACGTGCTTGAAGACCGTTTGCACCATCCTATACCCGGAAGCATAGACCGGACGATATGGCTGGAGGGCCCGACCCTCACGACAAGGGGAAGGAGGTGTACAGTCTGCAGAGTGCTGCATCTGCCAGCAGCTGCTAGAAGCAAAGACTGGAACAAAGGTCCCCAGACCAATGGCCGCTTGCAGAGAACTCAAACTCGGGTGGGTCGGGGGATGATGAACAGCTAGTTGATTTACAACAAAGATAGTAGAACCGTAGTAGAACCCTTCAACCCTGTATACGATTGTATATGCCTGATTGCATACCTGATGAAACCAGTCCCTTCAGCCTCTCCTTCTTCCTCACGCTTCCAAGCAGCTCCGCAGCCACCCGGAGGAATATCAAGTAGTTCAGGGCCTGGGGTCAAGTAGCTTTGAGAAGACGGGAAGGCTCCTGGTCACCTGAAAGGATTCAAACACCGACTGTTAGATGCCTTGTTTGGCGAATGGCAAGGAAAGCTCTGATTGTGAGAAGAAGGAAGTTGCTGACCTGCTTGAAGTGAACCGCTTTGGCCATCATGCAGTGGCTAAAGACGCTACTAGCTCCTGGCCTGACTTCTAGTAACAAGATGCTACGAACGGAACAAAGGGCATCGCTACTAGGAGCAAGGATACCATCATGCAGTTGCTAAAAATTACATGTGTTCCAATTGCCGAGCCGCTGTCGTGTGATACCTTGGAGGGCGGATGAATCCCCCAGACGAATCATTGCCAAGAAGAAAAGCAAATTGCAGCCTCGAAAGTGGCTAAACAATAAAGCCTCGACAGTTGAGGAGTTTATGTCCCTTGTGTAACGGCTTGACATGATCAAAGCACCGACGAGGCGTCACCTAAAAGCACCGACGCCGTCGGCATGTCTCCGAGGACGGAGCCCTGGGCCAAACTCAAAGACACTCCGATCGTTGCAGAGGAGCCTTGCCAACTCCAGGGGCTCTGGGAGGAGTGGGGAGATGGGTGGGAGCAAAAACGATGATGATGAGGATCAATTTCGTCAGAACTCCCAGGGAGCGTCCTTCTCCAGAAAATCTCAGGACCTTCCTCCATCAACTGTATTTGCAAGTTGTTTCGCTTCATCTACTCCAAATCTGACCACATCCTCTTGCACTTATCTTTGAAGAGAACAATAGCCAGGACAAAACGACTAGAGACGTCCATTTCCAGTCAACAGTAAACAGCTTGATGGAAAAAGATTCACCTGTTGACTCTTCTCTACGGGCGTTCACCAACAAATTCATACCCAAAGGGGTCCAACCCTCCTCCCCTCGCACCCTGCACCTTTCAGAGCTGAAGCTCGTGGACTTCCTCCTCGCAGTCGGGTCGCGCACCGTCGCTCGTTGGGGTCGTGACGGGGCGCAGGGCGGACGGCATTTTCGCTCGTTGAGGGAGGCCTCAAAATAAAGGAAAGACAGAGATCGGACCCTTCCACCAGAGAGTTTACAATCTCAACGAGACATCGTCTCGGAATGCAAAGCAAGAGAGGTTTGCCAAGGGTTCAGTTACTAGTACCACGCCCCCCGTCACTATGGGCCAATGGGGGATCAATAATTTGGGGGTTGGGGTTCAGGATCTAGTTCGCCTTGCGCTGTTCGTCATTCAATGTGATTCGCATGGAATTGCTGACAACTTGATCACTGTTGAACCGCAAAGCATCCAAATTCAGTTAGCTTGTGTATGTCTACTGTCAAGGCATCGTAGAAAACAGATAATATCTTCTTGATCCGATCGCCAAAACCGGATGCCAAAGCGACCCAAGGGCCCTTTGGCCTGGCGATTTACAGGGGAATTGACCCTCGAAGTCTCGGCGCAAACGATGAGTCCCGGGCGAACAGCTACTTTACATCCGCACCAGAAAGTATCCAAAAGGTGCTCTGTCGATCGATTGAAGATCCCCACCTTGGGTTCTTGTTCCACTCCCGCTTCAGCTCGAAGATCAGTAGACCTTCACACAACCCAGGAAAAAGATTTCTTATCCCAAAAAGGTCTTTGCGTTTCCTCAGCTCAACAGGCTCTACCTCCTACCCTCCTAAACTGTATAATGCTAACTTGCACTAGACAAGATTGCCGCCTGCAGCCAGAGTCGCGACGTTCAGGGCGATGCTTTGTCCCATCCCGACCTCAGTGGCTCTCAGAAGGGACTACGTGTCCTGCAGGCTCCAAGCCTACCAGTACGATGATTCTCTTCTACATTGCGTGATCTGAACAGATTCAAGGCTAGGACACAAGAACCAAAAACTAAAAAGAAAAGTCCAAGTGTTGAAGCATCATCCCATCTCTCCATCAAGGAACCGCTGGCGGCGGTTGCGCATGATCGTGCAGCCATCGCTTTAAATCAGGGGCTGTGGTGCTGCTCGTCGCCTCCCAAAGCAGCAAATTATGTATATAAATGACAACGACTGAAATGCATAAAGGAACAGGCTCCATGTGCATTCAACAACACCAATTTGATAACATTCATTTTACACCGGCATTGACCCCATGTTTAGTAGGAGAACGCGTGAGGCTTACTTATCCGGTTGCTTGGATCAACGCCACATAAGTATTCTCAATCCAGTTTATAAACAGGGCTGGAGAGTATGCGTTGCAGGGCCTGCAGGGCCGAGTCACAGCATTCCAATTCCGAAAAGTTGCGTTCCAGGCGAAAAGTTGCCAGGACGGCCAACCGCTCTTAGGTTGGAGGCCATTGCTCTTAGGTTGGAGGCCACCCAAGGGTTCCAGAGTTTCAAGGCCTTGCAATGCTTCAGCATGAGAAACAGGAGAATCTGCTAGCTTAGAAAGTTGATGCATTATCATCGGGAACATCCTTTCCCTTCATCCAAACGTATCCTACAGTGCACCTAGAACTGGCTTCAAGACCAACCCTGGTCTGGCACCCCCTGAGCAGTTGAGCAGGAGATGTCAAAATGCTTGAAAGTGTTCACTTGTTCCGTGAAAAGCCAGATTGAGGGTCTAATTGATTCAGTGTCATGTAAAGCTGCAAAAATAACATCCAAACGTTTTGTGCTCCGCACCAGCCTCAGCACCGGCCCAAACATCCATGGGTTGGAGACCGCACCATGGCACCAGGCTTCACAGTAACAGTCATGTCTGCCTAGCAGGACCCGAAGCCAAGCTCTATATAGATTTGAAAGCTTTTGGAAGCAATAGAGAACCTTTTGCTCTCTGGAGACCAGGCATCGTTGTCCATTTCTACAAACTAACATTACTCAATACTCAATACCCGGTGATTAAATGCCTGAGCAGGGTCTCTTTCATCACTGCATTCAGCAATCAACATTTGCCGGCGGCAAAAATCGGAAGCTGACTCATGCGCTACATACAATCGTGTTCAAGTGCAAAGATCACCCTTCGAGCTCGCAGACAGCCAATAAAGGATGTTGATACGATGAAGATAAAGTCGTTGCCTTCCCTTACATCCCATCTTGATGTTGATACGATCCTTTCTGCATTCCCCACATGCCATCTTTGAGAGGGCGTCTACAGCTCTACTGACTACTTTCAAATCAGCTCAATTTAGAGAAGATAAGATACGTGTTCAATTACAGATCCAGCACGTCAATCACTATCAAGATTATGTTAGTTCTCTCTACTCTCAATGAAGAAGTCGTTGATAGCTTAAAACGAGACTCCCGCTTGAACAGGTTCTTCTACGGCTTCTGTAACAAATCGTGGGACCTGCATCTTTGTCAGTCCCAAGCTATCTAAGTCCATCAAAAGGTCGCAGTCTTCGCCCTTCCAGCTCACAAGCATCTTTTCAAACCATTGAGGAAACAATGATTCTACAATGTGTCCTCATGGTACATGGAACCTGCCCTGAGCACCTTGAGTGGCATCGCAACCTGATCTCTGGTGTCAGCAATACCGTGTAACTCATATTGCATCGTCAACATCAGAAAGGTTTGTGACAAGGGTGTTTGTTTGGGTCGGGTTATGTAAAGATGTTCCAAACCAGTGCATGGTACAAAGGCTCCATGGGCACCGGCCGAGCAAAACTGCAAGCCGGAACTGCAAGCCGGAACTGCATCCCTTGAGAAATTCGAAAGGGAGTCTGAACACAGCTTCTTTACCTCAAGGGTTGCAAACTCTTTGCAGAGCATTGTTTAAATCACCCAACCTTGGACAAACAAAAGTCACAAGTCTATCCTCTGTGTTTGGGTCGGGGGGGCCCTGCAAAGGCAGCAAGGGCTCTACAAATATCTGCCAGCTGATCTCCGTTTGCTGGTGCCTCAGACCTCTCGCTCACCACCAAGAACCCATCTTCTGAAGCTAACAAAACATGTAATGTGTTGCAAGAGGTTGTCAGTCCAGCAGCTTCAGCACAAGGGATCCAAGTTTATGTCAGAACATTCGAGAGCAACATCATGTCGGAGCAAGGAGTGCGCAGCATTGGCGCTCATCCAGGATCTGTGCTGAGTCCCTGCAAGGATTCTCGTGAAGTAGCTCACCAGGTGTCAGAATACTGTCCCACCGGCCAGCCGAACAACCGCGGTTCACTTCTTGCGGAGAAACGGAAGGTGTCCCTGCGTGGCACACCTCAGTCTTCCGGCTCCAAGTATTGACTCTCACAATCAATTCTCTGTATTTGCAGCACCACCTTGCAAAGACTTGGATTTTCCATGTATATAGTTAGTTGGAGGCACGGTGATAATGGGGCCGGGCGTTTTGTGCGTTTGGACCGCATACATAGAACTTGTGATGCTGCGGTGATGTTCATGTTACATGGGGGTTACAGTATGCTTTGTTACGGGTGGGGGCCGGGATAACGTCCGTTGTTGATGCAGTGCAGGTTGTGAGTCGTCTTTGCTGAAAAGGTAGTTATATGTTCCATCAATGTCTCTCAATGCGTTATGCTTGGCACAGGGTGTCTTTTCCGTCAAGCTCGTGCGTTGTATACCGCAGTTTTCCAGGTCTCAGTGTGGTGCGTTCTTTCTTTCTGCTTTGTCTCTTGCTTTCATTTTGTTGTTGCGGTTGGGACACTGGACAGGGGTGGATGAAGTTCCGCACTTGTTGAAAGGGTGGTTTGAGGTGGACCCGTTCTCAATTGATAGCCTGTTGAGGACCTTTTGTGATGCTTCCAACCCTGATCCTTTTGTTGCTGACGCTTTTGTTGGCGCTCCAACTTAGATGCAGATGTTGACCTGACAAGAGCGCTCGGGGAGCTCTGAAAAAAATGGTTTGGCGCCAACTACTTCGGCCGTCGAAACAAACAACCACGGAAACGGGGTAGAAATGCTGAGATTTGCAGTGCAAAATGCTCTTTGTGTCCCTAAAACACAAGTAGTTCACCTACTTTGCAAACACCAAGGCCTCAAAACACTGAAAGGGTTCGCAAAAACGAGCTCGCCAACGATACGTAGCAGTAAAAACACTCAGGCCCTAATACCAACGTGTGACCAGTGTTAGTTATACCATGGATATCGGAGTTTCATGCGCCCAAAGGTCTCAAAAGCACTCTGGCAAATCCCAGGACAGCCATAAAGAACAGCTGCCTCGAGCACAGAAGTTGGAATTAAAAGCAACAAGTCAACAAGTCCTGCTTCAGAACTGGGCCCGGCGGTCCCACTGTCTGTTCCACAAGGGTCCCACGAGTTCCCAAGACCCTGGCCCAAGCTTGTCAGATGGCTCAGAGACCTCCATGACATTAGGCAGGTTTCCTTGCGGCCTCAAGTAGCACAATTTTTGATTGGTGCCGCAAAGAATGATTGGAAAAACAGAATGAGCCGATACCAAACAAAGTGAAGGAACCACCTAATTTGGCCCAGCTAAGTTGAGTACCAAACAACCCAAACAAACGTTGACGATCAGCTCTCTGACGATCAGACTTCTTTGGCTGCACCTGCGGTATACCTCGGATGGCGGCGCCATGCTGCGGTCTGTACTGCTTGCGAGCCCTTTTTGTGCCCTTGGGGCCTTTAGGCGACATACCTACATTGCCCACCTGAGGAGCACTGAAATTGCGAAGCATTCTCAACATGGCCAAAGGCCATCCTTGGGCCTGCTGTTCAGCGAAGGTGTGACTGGTCCGTACTACTCACCTGTTCCTCTTTACCCCAGCTCCTCATGTGCAGTCCTTTCTCAACGAGCGGCTATCAAGAACTGGCTCCGTCATGCTCGCACGAGACATCCTGGGCATCGAAATTGGTGTGACAAGACACGGCCCTCGGCTTTCTTGTGGGGAACACTGGTCGTCAAAGAGATGCGAAGAATGTTCTGGTTGTGCAGTACTCTTCCCCTTCGACATTGAACTACTCTGGTCACCTGAAGTCTTTTGTCTCTGAACCAAGGAAGGTCGCCCCGTGATCGGCTTACCTGAGAAAGAATCCACATGGGCTCTTTTTACACGGGTGGTTGAGATTCCAACCCTACACCCACCGTCCACACGGATGGTAGCATGTGTGTGCAGCATTCATGTCTGGCAAGGCGTGCGAGTCAAGACGTTCGAGGAACAGCTTCATGCAAACAATCCCATTCTTTGGCCCTGGCATGTAGGCTGTTCTCAAGGCTTCATGGGCCTTGATTCTGGCAGCAACATCCTGTCCGACAGCGCAGCGGTCAAGGGCTTCCGTTTCCTGTGTGACCAGCCCACACCCTTCTTGGGTTTCAAGCCCACTCCGCGCAGCACGCCAGGTACCACATTTCCAGTGCAAATCATGAGGGTAGCACCGAGCTTGCTGACATCATTGGATTCTCTAAGCAACCTCTTGCGAGACTTGGAAACTGGAAACTGTGCGAAAGGTCCCGGTTCAAACACTTCCGATTTCAGAAACAGAAAGTCTCCTGGACTCTTGACACTGCCCCACACGTGCCTTGCAGATAAGGCCATAGATCATGGTGCGACAATGCTCGCTGATGTGGTCAAAGCAGCCATAGCGCAAGTTTACCTGGAGAGCTGAAGGCTATGCACTAACACCAACGTCTTCAGTTGGCCCAATGGCAGTTTTCACATGGACTTGCATTTTTTGCGGCCTCACCTGGGCAGGGGGGGTCACCTCCGACTCAGGGGGATCACTTACGACTTGCAGCTGCAGGATGTGGTGGGGTGGAGTGGGGCTTTCGACCAACACTCATATCGTCTTGAGGTCCCTTCACATGACCCTAGATAACCAGGCCTTGCCCTCCATGGTCTTTTCGATGGTTTTGGCTGTCGTGGGTGCAAGGAAGGGTGTGGATTTCGAGAGCATGAAGTACAGCACGATGCCAGCACCGAACTCCTTGGCAACCCGTCGGATGCTGCGTACGTATGAGACAAAAGCCTTTAGCGTTTCTGGTCTTCTGGTGTTCGCTGCCTTGCCGTTGAGATCAACTTTGGATGTCGACTAAATGGCCATGCCATAACCGCCATGACAAGCAGCAAGCATTGTCAAGACTTTCAAGCTACAACTGTGTATTCCACAAAACGAGTTAAGGTATTGCCCCGAGGCCAAACAAACACGTGGCTCTACTGTCTCTATGAACAAGGTACCCCTTGCAATCTTCTTCTGTGGCAAGAGTGCACCACCCCTATATATATATATATATATATATATGAAAGAGGAGGGGACAAAAGCCAGCCTCTGGCTTAGGGGGTGCTCTTAGGGTAGGCTCGGGCACCGACGTGGCGTGCAAAAGGAAGTGATGGGGCACCATCGGGGAAACAGAAAGTTCGTGGTGCGAAGTTGACATCGCAGCCACAGGGAGAGGGGGTAGAAGTGGACAATAGAAGATATAGGTCTGGGGGGGGCGCCCTTTTCTGTCCTTGTTTACGGGGAATTGTGAGATGAAAAAGGGCACCCCTCAGGAAGTGAGGCGCCTTTGCCGGCGGCGTGTTGCGAACCAGGGCAGAGACGGCGGCGGGGGTGCACGTGCGAGGCAAAGGGTAGGGTAGGTGAGGAGGTCCCCATATATAGACATCAGTGTGCAAGGTAGAGTGGAAAAGGACAAGAAAATATGGGGTGAAGTTGGGATCGCAGGCACCCGATAGGAGGTAGAAACAGAGGGAAGAAGAAAACGGGGGTGTCCTTCTTCGTCCAGGTCCAGGAGTGCTTTGGAAATGAAAAGGGGCACCCCTCAAAATCCCCAAATATACTATATGAGTTTGCCTGCTGCGTGTTGTTAATCAGTGAGCAAAGATGGTTGTGGGAAGCCTGTGGGCGAGGCTATCGGCAGGCCTTCGTGAGGATACCTATATGTATACAGGTAGAGTGGACAAAGCGGAGCCGGAAGTGGTGAAGTGGATATGTCCGTCATTCGAGATAGAGTGGAAATAGACAGTAGAATACATAGGTTTGGGACGGGGTGCCCTTTTTCGTCTTGATGTCGGGGCGTTGTGGAGGTGAAAAAGGGTACCCTGTAGGTTTGGTATGGTGCGCTGGTCTATGCTTCAAGTGAAATGACGGCTGGCTTTCGTGATTGGATACTCCCGATATGGGGTGCCCTTTTGAGTCCACCAGCTAGACCTTGCCACGGATAAAAAAGGGCACCCCTAACCCCGCCTCCAACGCTTGCCCGCAACTGCAATCTGTTCTCTTTCCTGCTCTCAAGTATAGGATGACTTCTAACCAGCTTTTCACGTCCCCTTGTCTTCCCTTTCCTCTCATCGACATGAACTCCCACCCCTAGTAAAAACAGTTTACATGGCCTCACTACTGGCCGTCAATTACATTACCGGCATCACAACAACCCCAAAAAACACTCATTTTCACTACCAAGTGGCCCGCCTCTTCCCCCACCAGGCTCTGGGTTCACCTCTCCGGAAGTGACCACCCACGCGACCACCCCCCACACCCCCTTTACTCACTTCGTTCGCTCAAGAACCTCAAGCCCAGCCTATCGGCTGGCTTTCGTGATATTTATATACATATATATATATATATATTAAGAAGAAGACGCTGTTCCACTTACCCGAACCTGGTTGTATTGAAATGGAAGTGTATCACGCTGTCTACAAAAGTGAAGTTGGAAATTGACCTTTTATCACAAAGGAAAATCATTCCATGTCCAAATAGCAACCAGAGACTGCCATCGACGTCCAAGACGTCCACCTCAGTTTGACCAAGCGACGTCCGCTTCAAAGCTCGTGGCTGTGCCTGCCAGCATCTCTGGAGCTGCATAACCCACGGTGCCCACCTGAGCAGCCCCAAGTCCAGGGAGATTTTTACAAAGTGAGCTCCTCTGACCAACAGCTATTGACAAATCTGTAGCTGTTTTGGACATTCCAAATGTCAGCTCATGCCAAGGAACTACCCGCTTGAGCTCCTCCTGCTCCGTGACAAGGCACGCGATACCGAAATCGGTCAAGACCTGGGCTTCGCGCAGCAAACATGTCATCATCTCTCATCTCTTTGCCGCCTTTGCATTCAAGAACGCCTGCACAAGTGGAGATGAAAGGAGTGACCAGGTTTGTGTTTGCAAGATTCTTGTTGTTAGCTTCTGAAGACAGGGTTTGTTGCTAAAATGGGGAAGGGACTATTGTTGTCATGAAAGTTCTGCTCCGCAAAGGGCCTTGCAGAATCTTGGATGTCACTTCTCACAGGGTCGCCCAGTTCTTACGAGTACAAGGATACTTAGAACCTGCAAGCGTTGTCCTCTGGTGATATTCTCTGCGCATGTCTTGGAGGCTCCGACGACCCTCGCGGAAGTGTCGACCAACAAATTCTCTGGCTTGATGTCCCTGCAGGCATCAAAAGGCATGAAAGGTCCTCCAAGTGTGTCCATGTGGCTTGATTCCTCTTTTTCCCTTAAAGTTCTCAGGGAAGACATTTGAGCGTTAAGACCTGCGACATAACCACCCCCAACGTTGGCCAAACTTCAAAAACCACAAGTGCGTAGAAATGTTCACAGCTACAGCACAGCACTAGTAGTAACAAGAAGCTATTAGAAACAAGTGCATCACTACTAGTAACAAGTGCCTTACTAGTAGTAACAAGAAGCTAGTAGAAACATTTCTGACTTTGCAACCTGGCCTGTGGAAAATCTGTCGCTGGTGTAGGAAAGCAATCCTGTCATCGAATCTGCAAAGACTGTAATTGAATCTGAGAAAAAGTGCTTTGCTATCCGCTGCTACAAGTATCCAAAAGTGCACAGAACCAGCTTTTGCACTTTTGAGCGGTGAAAAACATTTAAAAAAAGAAGAAACCTTGCCCTTGAAATGCTTTGAAAGAAGAGCCTACGATCTCCCGACTGAGCCCTGAGCGCAGCCAACACATTGTGGAGAATGGGAATACACTCCTGAGAGACCACACTGTCGTGTCGTGTGAGTGGTGTGTCGTTGCTATAATGGCCGAAGCTGAAACAATCCCCATGCACCACGTGGGAAATGTCGCCAAAACGCAAAAGCAAAACAAGACATGACTTTAAACGCCAACGCACACTGCAGTCCTTTTCTCGAAGCCTGCGACCCTCCACGATGCGGTCATACCTCGGTGAGAAACGCCAGCTTCAACACTTGCAGCAAGAGAAGGAAGGCCAGGAACCTCAATGGAATCAGAAGGCCAATACTCAAAAGATCTATATATAAACACTGTACATATTCATGTCGTCCCTTCGACAGAACCTCAAAGGGACTTATGGGGACCTAGTTCAACATTTGCCCAAGACACAGATCGCACTTGAAGTAGTCCATGACCATGTACCATTGCTTGCCACCCTGATGGGGCGCTGCATATCCAGCGGTGGGTTTCTGTGGTGCGCAGGAGTTGGCAAACCACCAACTTAAACATGTTTTTTGCTGCCTTCTTGGTGGAAAAACCACTGTCAAGAGTCCCCACAGTGTCCTTTCAACTCACGAGAGGAAACTGTTTGCGCTGTTTGCCTCCTTTTTGACTTTTCCAGCGAAGAGCTAGGGACAAACATGAACGCTCTCTCCCAAGCAGTGGGGAAAAGCATTGTTCTATTCTTCCAAGACAACGCTTTCCACATCTTTGCACCCATCCACGGTCGTTCGACATGAACCTCTTCCAGCCTTGGACTGCTCGGATGGGGTCGAGTCGGCCCACAGCCCGTGGAAGCGAACAATGTTCGGATGGCCTTGCCTCAACGTGACGAGGACACCGTGACGACACCGTGAGGCAGGCGCCATCTGAGAGTCCCTGCCCCGCACGTAACATGTCGACCTGGTGGGGCCGGGCAAGAAGCTACTAGTAGCAAGGGCAGGGCATCGCTGCTAGTAACAAAGGGCATCGCTACAAGTAACAAGGACGCTATTAGGTGGAGGCAATCGCTCTTAGGTTGGATGCGCTATCGCTCTTAGGTTGGAGGCCATCGCTCTTAAGATGCTCAATGAATTGAATCCTCCTCAACAGCCCAGGCACCTCTCAAAAATTACAGCTGAACAGTTGTGGCCCAGCCAGAGGGAGACATCTGTTTCAATTCTGCAATTCCTGTCCAACCCAATCACCACCACTGCGCATGACCAACAGCTAGTCTCAGCTGACAACTGCCTTGCCTCCTTAAAAATGGTGATGGGGTTTACCTGGTGCAGGAATGACTCAAAGATTGCAAATAAAACAATTTGAAGCTCAAATCCACAACTGTTGGAAAGTTGAAGGCCAACAAGAGAGTAGAAAACAGGCAAGCATATTTCTTTCCAGTACCGGCTTGTGACCTCCAAGTTCACTGTGCGGGGCTCTTCCCATTTTAGTACACACATTCATTCACAGTCGACAGTTATCCTACCAATTCCTTCTGCGTTTGACCCCACACATTGTTTGGCAACGAGAAGAGCAACGTGTAGTGCCTGCAGTTTGAGGTTCTTGATTGCTACGATCCGGTCAGTCTTCATTTCAGCCGCACAGGCCTTAGAAAAGCAGCCAAGAAAACAACGCTGGAGAGCAGGGCACTTGCGGAATTCCGATCCTAATGTTGCCAAGCGGACTCCAACTCCAGTAAATGTCAAGAGCGCGCGCATGTTCCGCGGTAAGCACCATGCGTCCAATTCACGTCCCCAGTCAAATAAACCGTATTGTACAGATTGGGTCAAACAACATGTTGAGCCTCAAACTCAATACTTGCAAAATTTGGTGAGTGAGCGGCAAACACTTCACATGCTTGTACTGCATTCACTTGAGCCCCTGCTTGTCCATTGTCGGTAGTTCAACCAAGTATCCAAGCAAAACAAATAAAACCCAAACATACGGTTCAAGTACTTCTCATTGCCAGGAATGAGACGCTGAGTTGAACTGGGCACCCCTTGCTACAAAGCTGAAGGCACCGAGCCCCTGCTTTCCCTGGCTGACAGGCTGCGGCAGGTTGACTTGATCAAATGTTGACTCGGTAAACTTGTGACTCATGTGTCATCTTAAGATTGCCATAGCGGCCTGGTATTAGACTCCCGCATCTGCACTGCAAGGAATATACAATACAGTATATATATATATGTTTTAGTATTGATTTATACAATATTTTGTATACTACCCGGAAATCTGTATATGTATATATATATATTATAACAATCGCCGTACTCACCGCAGTAGAGAAATCCTTGATCATAACCAAGAAATGTAAACATGAAAGGAAAGATTGCATCTAGCAGTCTGCAGCTTTTTCACAGAATCTTGATCCATGTCCGTGTACGCGCCTGGGCAAACATGTGGTAGTGGTTTGTCAAGCCTGCGCATGGACGTCCAACTGCAAAAGGCATCACATACTGTAGGGATTCCCAGACTCGGTTGCCATCTGGGGTAAAGCAAGTCCCAAGTAAAGCGAGAAAGCATATCATGATTTCCAAGCGCACAAACACCACCATGAACCATGATTATGGTCCAGCACCTACAATGCCAAAAAGAATGCGAGTCATCCAGTATACGTCGTTGTGCCTGATCGAATTCCACCGGCATAGCTGATCTTGGTGAGAAAGTCATGCAAACGATCAGACCCACCTCAGAAACTGCCAATGTGTGGCCTTCCTGGGCCATGACGACGGAGCTATCGTTACAAGTAGCAAACATTGTTCCTAGTAGTAAGGCCAGGAGCCCCTAGTAGCGTCCTTTGCTCCTAGTAGCGATGCCCTTTGCTCCTAGTAGCGTTCTCTTTCAGGTGCCTCAAGCTGTTTCATGTCAAATTCAAGCTCCCCTTCCGTCAGCGCTGTGACCCACCGACAAAGGATCAGGCAGGTAAAAATCCAACCTTCGACACCTTTTGCGGCCCTTTGCGCCCTCAGTGGAACATGCATGGACGATCTCAACGTCAATGCTGACAGCATCTAGAGCAAAATCTAAACCGCTGTGGGATTTGATCAAAATATCCCGAACATTAGACCCTCAAATCCATCTTGGTTGTAATCTACATGCCGTGTCAGGCGTGTGAAGTAGTTCCTCCAAGGAAAGCTTGGCTTGACTCGACTGTTTGATATATATATATATATATGGGTTGCTGAGCCTTTCAAGGAACTAAAACACATTCCCATAGGCCTGGCCTCTCTGTCCGTGAGCACCACTCTGCCCCCTGCCAAATGACAAGTGGAACGGCAGCTGCAGTCATGTTGGATGACGATTCACTCGATGCGTTTCAAATTTCCAACTGTTCAGACTTCAAAGAGGACAGCGCCGAGAGCATCTTTGCTCTCTGTGAAGATTGAGGCAAGTCAAGCTCAGTCGCACATGGCCTTTGCGCCCTCAGGAACCAATGTCACAACAAATATGGCCTGGCCAGGCAGTTTGCAGTCAAAGGTTCAGAGTCGTTGAGTTGAGACCCGCAAAACGCTTCTCATGTACAAATTCAGTGTTCCTTCCGAGAAGTCCTCACTCTTGTCGCAATTCATAGCCAATCGACTCGTCCCGGATGCGCGGAATGCATTCATGAACAACTTCTCCGCCAATGCGCGATGAGGCGACTCAGTCCACTCGTCAGCAACCTCCTCCAACTCGGCGATCGCGACTTCAGCACGTTGGACTCGGACCTGTGCAAGGAAGACAGAAAGCCTGCTCTGGATCACCCTGGGCCAGAAACAAAGAGGCTTTGCCCATGATCATGTCTTGCAGTGCTGGGTCACAAAGTCACCAGAGTGGGTTAAGAATTGGAGATCCGCGATATTCCAAGCCGACACAGAATCTAAAGGAACAAAACCGTGGGTGTCAAGTTTCCTCAAGTTGTCCTTTTACCCACACATTTGTACGCTTGGGGATCCAACCTCCACATACCAGGCCTTGCAGGAAACGCCGTCTCCTGTAATCTCCATCTCAGATTTTTTGATGACCTCACGGGGAAAAGGATAACTCCAACTGGGTCCGGGAATAAAACTCAATACACATGGGTCAAGATCACAATGGACCACAGATCGGAACTGCCTCAATCAGCTTGCAAAGCTAAATCATTCTGAGCTTCTGGCAGTGTAGACCTTGCGGCACCCTGCCATGTCCCCTCGCGCCTCACGATTCCGGATCTGCAACGCGAACAACTCAATGTTTGAAGGGCGCCCCCAACTGCCTTGCTGAATCAAATACTCCTAGTGACTCCTAACCCCGATGGGAAGACATATATATATAGATATTCAAGGCTGTATATACATACATAGCCTTCAATTTCAAGGATGTCCAGCTTCCATCTGCAAAGGATGCTGAACAGCAGTCAATTGCTTCTCTTCCATCCGACAGTGGACAGTGAACATAAAAGTTGCTCGTGCGTTCCCACGAGCAAACTTGTAAACACCATCTTTGTGGAGATCAATTCGAGTTGCAAGCATCGAATCTATGCGAACGTGCTGACAAGGACTCCACCCTCATCTTATGCCAAAATTGAAGCAGTTAATTACCTTGGAAGAAAAAGCTGCAAAATCAGACAGTGTCTGATGCTTCAGTGGACTCAGACTCTTTCATCTGAGGGTACTTCTTGACAGGACTGTGGTAGGTCTCGCCATGAGTGTGCTGGTCCACACCTTCAACCTCCTGTTCTTCTGGGATTCGCAGCTTCATCACCAGCCTCAATGCCACTACGATGATGGCGGTGCCAATGGCTGAGAAGGCCACACCTGCCAGTGCACCGACAATCTGCTTGCCCAAGAGCTCGAAGCTTCCAGTATAGATCAGGCCACCGTCCAATGCAAAAATGCCGGTCAAAATGGCCCCACCAATGCCACCCATGCCATGCAAGCCAAAGGCATCCAAAGTGTCATCCACCAAATTAACCTTGTTAACCACCTCCACAGAGGCGTAGCACCAAACGGCACCCAAAGCACCAATGGCAATGCTCCACCCAGGCGTTACAAAGCCCGCTCCAGGGGTGATGCACACAAGCCCAGCCACTGCTCCTACTGAGGCTCCTACACTGGTGGATTTGCCCTTAAGAAGGCGTTCCAGCATCAACCAGGTCAACATCGAAGAAGCTGCTGCCACGAATGTGGTGGCCACAGCACGGGCCGCCACACCATCGCTCACTGACAAAGCAGATCCGCCATTGAAGCCTAGCCAGCCAAACCACAGCAGGCTGCCACCAAGGATTACGAAAGGAGCGTTGGCAGGTCCCAGCTCCTTCTCCACATGCCTTCTGGGTCCGACGATGGCACCTGCAACGAGGCCGGACACACCGGAGCTGATGTGCACCACTGTGCCTCCAGCAAAATCCAAAGCTCCGAATTCAGCGATCCAGCCACCAGGACCCCAAACCCAGTGGCAGAGTGGGGCGTAGATTAGCAAGGACCACAAGGCCAACATGATGGAATATGCACTAAAGCGCATACGCTCCACCAAAGAGCCCGAGATGATCGCTGATGCGATGATGGCAAAGGTCATTTGGAAAGCTGCAAAACAAAGACCAGGGAGCCCCGAGTCACCCCACATCTTCATGTCCAGGTTCGTCCACAGGCTGTAGTCAAAGTTGCCCACGAACATCCCAAAGCCAGTGGAGCCATTGTCTCCGAAGGCCCAAGAGAACCCAAAGACAACCCACGTCAAGCATACAATGGCCATGGATGCTACACTCATCATCATAGTGTTGATCACATTGGTGTCTCGCACCAAGCCGCCGTAGAAAAAGCCAAGACCGGCTGTCATCAAGAACACCAAGGCTGCAGAGGTCAAAACCCATGCAACTGCGCCCGTGTTCACGGCATCTTCAGTGAGGGCAGGATTGGCCATGGCTCGCGTCTGCTCCTTGAAATGGGCTTTCAACAGCTTAGAAAATCACAACTGCACCTGAAGCCAAAAGCGTGTGGGATGTCATGGGATAACAAACGCCACAGGCAAATTACTGCTTCTAGGAATAACAACATAACATGGTAGATCCACCACTTCTGCAATGTACCTCACGCACTTGGAGTAGATGACAGTGATCGCTTAGTCACTTGCGCGCGTCTTAGCGACATCAGTTGAAGCGACCCCCCAGCGAGGCGCCAGCCTTCAGGTCAAAAACCGCCCGGTCGGCCAGCTGCTGTGCACTTTCACAGTCAAAGGACACCTGAAGGATTCACAGTGATCGAGAGGATTCCCAACGAATCGGTCACCCACGGACTACATGGAGCAACAAAACAACGAAGGAAAAGAAGTAATCATTGCCAATGTCCCAATGACCATCCCTGCTTGTTGCTGCAAAAAAGCCTCTGATCTGCTTGTATACTCAGGGACAGGTTGTTCCCACGTTGATTCCTTTCCACCTAAAGACTCGGGACGCTTCAGGGGTCGATGATGGCCATGTCTTGCTTCCAAGGTTCATGATGTCACCACTGGCAGGACGTTCTGAGAACCCCACCGGACCAGGACTGCTTCCACTGGAGGTCGAAAAATGAAACCTGTGTGTTGCGTGTCACAAATGGGACGCTCCGCATTTCGTAGGGGCTAGTGACTCGTGCGTTCTCCACTCTACTGAGAAGTCAGAATCAGAAGCCAGAATCATCAGATCCAGCATGATCCATCTCTGGCTCCAAAGTCTTGAAGCAAACAGCGTGGATGTCTCGCAGCGTGGATGTCTCGCTTGGATGTCTGGCTGCAAACTGCATCGTCTAAATGCACAAATCATATTGTCTAAGCTGACAAAAGCATCTCTGAGTTGACTAGCAGTTGTCTATCCTGTGTCTAACTGCTCTGTAAAAGTATGTATGTACTCATCACATGCAAGTCCTTGGCAAGTGAACGTGGACCATGGACTCAAATGGTACCCCCTGCATTCTCACAACAAACAAAAGAAATGGCAAGAAAACGGTGTAATCATCCCATGCACTCGCTTGGTGGCCAGACCGATGTAGGCACAGGCAATCGAAGTCATCGACTTCCTGGATGGTCTTCGATCGGCGTATCACGACCGGAGCAACATCGACTTCATGTTCGCTTCTGGTCCCGGGAGCCAAAGGAGATGTTCAAGGAGTGAAAAGCTGCCCTTTTGGAACCCTGTTGCGGCTCTGTTTGTTCGCCAAGTTGCTCAGTTGGCTCCCACCGCAGGTGTCTAAGTCTGGTGTCCAAGTCTGGTTCAAAAGGGCCAGTGGGTCCACTCTGTTTCAGCATTGTTTCAGGGACTGAGGCCTCCAATCATTTGTAGATGCTCCCCACAATCACCCACACATCGCGTGACGATGCAGAATTTTATTCGTGCATGGTAATTCAGTGAGGTAGTATGTGTCCTCTGAGGATTCTTCATCACTCACATCCTGAGACAGACGCTGTGCGAAGGCGTGCCGAGGGCGAAGCAAGCGAGTTCAAGAAGCAAAGAAGAAAAAAAACGACAAAACTTGGAAACATGAGAAAGGGTTGTTTACTTAGACGGATGATCTTGAAACTACTACAAAACTATCACTTGAAGTGGCAAGCAGCATATTTCAAGCACATCATCACTAATCCTTCATGGGTGGATGGATGCACAACCCTTCGTTCGTGTCAAGTTCCCAAAGACCGTGGCCACCTCCTCCTCTGAGACTTCTGACTCAGAGTCGTCAGCATCCTGCCGTCCGTCAGAGAGGTCTGTCTGTGTCCACTGGGAACATCCCAAAGACCTGTAGGGCCTGGGACTATCATTTACCAATCACCACGACATGGAGGAAACCATCAGATCATGAACATATGGTCTAAAGCAGTCGAACCAACCCAGCAAGCTGTTCAATTCCTGAACTGGAGGGAGGGGCCAATCGCTGTCACCAAGCGTTGAGGGAGGGGCCAATCTGTTTTTCTTCGCAATCTCGCAAAGCCAATGGCGTCATAGACTCATAGACAAGGTGATGGTGGGGAGTTCACTGCTAGGTTCGCTAGTTTTGTCTCTGACAATAGATTGATGTTTTCCGGCTGCCAGTCAGCCAGCTCCTCCAACCGCTGCACAGCAACCTGCTGGGCCGAGCACGACAGGTAGTGCACAATAGTTTTGACAATGCACCAATCACTGCGGAACAACAATTATCATGGTTGCCGGAGAACCAAACATGGCAAGGTCATCCTGTGGCTTTTGGCAGTTTGCACATTCACCAAGGTTGCTTTCGTGACACTTGTCCTGTACTTGCTGTGGGACTCACCACAGTCTGTCAATTCAAGCGAACAAGAGATCTCAACCAACCACCAATTGGCAAACCAAATGTTGATTCGGCTTTCAGACTTCCTGCACCAATGTCAGGAACAAATTTGCCTGCCTTCGGCCCATCAGCCCAGGCATGTTTGACCTGTCGGGTGGTCACAAGCAAATGGTCTTGATGTTGCATTTCACAGATAAGACTGAAGTATCCCAACCTGTCGGTCGCAAGATTCCACCTCATCCCAGCCTCGCTCGGTTTCTGCGAAACGCTGACTGACCTCACATAGCGATGCGCGATACCGTGAGAATACTTTCGAATGTGAAAACCAAACACTCAAATGTATCAAAATCCAAATCCAACACCAGCCGGTTCATTGAAAACAATATAATGTATGAAGTGCAAGTGGCTTGGACACCCGACTTCGATTTGGTCTCTTTGCGGAGCGGGTCATCCATGAGCTAACTCTACAATGGATGAGCGAACCTTTAGCCAGCTGGGGTTGTTCACATCATTTTGCCATTGGTCAGGGGATCGTCCAACACACCAAACCCAAAGAGCTTTGAAAAAACGTCGTGGTCTCAAAAGAACACTAAATAACCTCGTAAGCCTGCGATGGGAAAGTGCAAACATCCCCACAACCAACATCACAAAACGATGGCAATTGACACAACACATGTCTCATTCATTCATATAGGTTAGTGTCAAACTCGGGTCTGAACATTTAACAGCCACGGCCAAACAAAGTCAAACCCGATTCATCTCCAGCATGATGCAGGAACATCATCTTTCCTATCATCCGTGGTCCTCTCTTCGAGCTCGCCTGGGTTGATTGTTTTTTCCCAACAAGCACACCCAATTGTGCAATTCAATGGTTCATGGTGCTTTTACTTTCGACTCAGCATACGATCGAGAAAAAACATGCCCAGTCAGGTTATTTGATCCATATGTTCAAAGACATTTGGATCTGCAGATCTTTGGTGATCGGTCCAAGCGAAACATTAGTTGCGAGTGGAATGAAACACCCAGATCAAATTCAAAGTGGGTTGTTATGGGTAATACCGGGTAGTGCACCCTCACGTTGGAGTCGACATCAAGCTTGTCATGTTACCATCTCGTGACGCTGCCCCAAGCCTTTTAATGTGCTGCTCTACATAGTGGGGTGCTGAGATCGCCTGTTCCCCAAGCTCCTCATCCACAGACGTATTCGAAAAACAGTGGATTATTGCCCCACTACTGTTCTTCAAAAACATGTGTGGGTTCAGCATCTGTCATCATCTTCCATTTCATTCGGTGGTTTTCTAGAGGGCGTTTGGCCATCAGGCATGCTCACAAAACTGCAGCGAGGCTCGAGTCTCTTGAGGCAAACGGGTAGTAACCGCACGACCTAACAGCGATGGCCTCCAACACAAAGATGCGCCAACACAACACGCACATGATGATCCTGAACGTTCACGAGAAACACGGGCTAGCCCAACTCTCACTGCCCCATGTGAGAGCCATGATGGATAGTGCTACGCTGGCCACCCCACAGGCAGGAGTCCCGCAAGGAGGCTTCTATGCCAGTGGCATTCGACAGGTGGAGTTAGGCAGTGATGCATGCTTCATTGGTCACCGGGCGTATGAGAGTTGCAAACTGCTCACCCTGGTAGACATCTCGGGCACTGAAATCCATACCCTCCACATGCACTCACAGTGTCATAGCTTGGAGACAGTCAAACTGCCATCCTGCCTGCGTGAGATCCGAGAGGTTTTCATTGGCTGCAACGCCCTGGTGAACCTCACGCTCCCGGGCAGCATTCGTTATATAGGGTATAGGGCGTTTGGCAACTGTGCCGAGCTTTCTCACCTGGGTTATGCTAGGAGGAATAAATTAGAGGCATGGCGATATCCTTATGCCGCCTTCAATGCCTTCGAGGAATGTGTTAAGCTAGCCACCCCAAAGTGGCTCCACTACATCCGGCCGAGGGAGAGCGACTGGATCGCTCCCTGCAATTGACCTAAACAACCTATACAACCATCGAAACAGCGACCGTCCGGGAGTGAAAAGCCAGAGAGAGCAGGCGGCTACCCAAGTAGCTGTCCCTCGACATTGCCAGATGGGGAATGGGTACTGGGTATAAGTGTGCCCCCTTTGCTCCCACGGTTGTGGTAGGAAGGCTCAAAGGGACAATACCCCTGACGAGGCTCAAATTTCAAGTAGGAGCTTTGCAGGTCGCCGCAATGGTGGGCGATACTTGGTCACAAACGAGCTCGCTAGTCAGCAATGAACGACAGTTGGTGTTGCAACTCATGCTGACAACCCTTTCTGGAGAAGAAATACAAGTCGTCATCGATCTCCAGGAGTTTGATCGGTTAGACGAGTTTGAAACTGCTGTCCTCGAGCAGCTCCCGATCATTGGAGGGCACAGCACCTTTGGGAGCAAGCTAGCCTTTGTCCACAAAGACACTGGAGAAATCCTGGCGAATCCTATCTGGGATACTCTCCAAGACTGTAACCGCTTCAACCTTGTGGTCCGACAATGCTTCTGCTTGGGTTTGCTGTTTTGTGGCCTTTTGTTTTTGGTTTCTGGCTCGTATCTCCCTAGTACTCCTATTTAATTCAATCCAGGTGACTTGTGCCTCTCGGCACACACAGCGCCTCCACCCGTGCAAAAAAATGTGGTCCGACAATGCTTCAGTCAAGCCGAACACAAAGGGCAACTGAAGAGAAGTGCCAAAGCAATTCGAGTACCACCCATTCGGACGGGTCGTGTGTTACCCCATGCTTTCACGCATGCGATCGATGTGAGGCATGTGCAAGTAGAAGCAGGAATACATACCATTGGCGAAGCGGCCTGGCAGCACTGCAACAGGCTGCTAATTGTTCAACTGCCTAGTACTGTACTCTGCCTGCAAGATGGAGCCTTCCGCCGGAACTATGTACTCCACACCGTCACAGCCCCAGGGTGCAAATACTTTGGGCTCTGGGTATTCGAAGAATGCTATGCCTTAGCACAGATTGGGGATCAAAGCACGACAATCAATCAGCTGGCGCCACAGGCGCGATTTCGGCCGCGAGCTTTCGAAAAATGCAGCACCTTGCAGCAACTCAATTTTGAGAGAACGGAATACGATCCCACCAATTTGAATCGTTCCATACCCGAGGGTTGCTTTTTCGAGGCAGGAATAGAGTCGTTATTTTTACCAGCTTTTTTTAACTGGATGGGTCCAGCGGCATGCGAGCATTGTAAAAGGTTGCGGATAGTTGACATCTCACAAACCGAAATCAGTGAGGTTCTGGGGGGTACCTTTGCACATTGCTCACAGCTGCAGCAGCTCCGACTGGCCAAAGCAGTGAGGCGCATTGGGCGAGACGCCCTCCTAAATTGCACCTCCCTGGGTGAACTACACACCCCCCCCGCTTTGCTCTTTATCGACAAACGAGCATTTGCTGGCTGTACACAGCTGCGCACGCTCATCAGAGTAGGAAGAAAAACAACTTGGAGAGGTACTTACGCAGTGCACGACGCATTCGAGTCGTGCATGCAACTCGCACTCCCAAAAAATGGATCCGGCTCCTCCCCAAGCCAACTGATGGCCATGAAGAGTGGGCTGATTTCATGAGAAGCTGCGCAGAATCGAACTGCAGAGAAGCCTGACCATGCAGCCCTGCGTCCGCATGTGGGTTCTACGCAAACCACATACCTGCCAACAGACCTGCCAACACTGCTGCCTACACTGAGTAGCTAGACAGCACCCAGGGCTGCCTCCCAAGAGGTGGTCGTGGAAGAGTACAGATGTACAGTTCTTCAAACTAGGAATAGCGGCGTTTCACTGTTTCACGTAGTTTATGGGGCGTGCATGCTTTCACGGATTCAAGAGCATTCGAATTGTAATACGGAGATGCTGAGCTTGTCGAGGCTTGCCAACAGAGTCCTGCCTGTCAAAATTCCTTGAGGGCAACGCAAGGTCGCGTCGCTTCGTCATTGTCGCTCCCGTTTGCCATTTTGGAGCCGCTGTCGCTGTGCGCACTTTTGTCTGTACCTCCCCCCTTTGGGGGGGGGGGCCTAGGTGGGGGGACCGTTTGTCTCGGTTCATCCCGTCCTATGTCCTCAGCAGGTCATGACTTTGTAAGTTTGGCAATCGACTCCTCATAGAATCACTCTCCCACGACAAGCCCTTAGTGCTGAGTTAATCGTGTTCAAGCAATTGTGCTCTTCGCAGACTTTCCTTGGGATTTTGAACACAGTGAGTCAAGAACAGAGATTACCATGCCCTGTTTCAATCGGGTGCGCTGCAAATCATGCATCCGACGCTTGAAGGAAGCAAGCAACTGGTGTCGTCAAGTGCCAGACTGACGAGGCCAACTTGGAAAACACTGAGTCCGCCTGAGGCAAAGTCGTGCTCTTGGATATAAGTCATGATTCGCCTTGGCACAGAGATTCTGATTACAATGTTCCTCACTCTTGCACACGTTTGAATACCCCTGATGCTGACCGGTCAGCACCCATATCGCTACACAGGTACTCATTGCCCGCAAAAAGGAAGTTTGCTACCTCCTGATCCTCATGTACTGAGCGCAGACAGAAGAATGAATTCAATGCCCCGTTTCACCTCGCTCTCAAGACAGTCGTTTCGGCTCCGACAGCCCTCATAAAAAAAACGAGCCCGGCTTGTTCGGTTTGGGTGTTTGGGCGCTTCTGGTTTTTTGTGGGTTTGTTGTTTTGTGCCTTCTGTTTTGGTGTCTGGCTCGTATCTCCTTAGCACTCCTATTTAATTCAATCAAGGTGACTTGTGCCTCTCGGCACACACAGCGCCTCCACCCGCGCAAAAAGGAATCCCGTTGCCAAGCCGTTTTGGAGTCCGTGCGGGATCGACACTCTCGATTCTGCCTCCTCCCCCCTTGGGGGGAGGATCGGGAAACGCTGCTTCGCAGCGGCGTTTGACTGCATGATGGCAACCACTCTGCTCCCTTTCTTTGGGCATTTTGGAGATTCCGATTGCAAGCGCATTTCTTTTTGCACGGGTGGAGGCGCTATGTGTGCCGAGAGGCACAAGTCACCTTGATTGAATTAAATAGAGACACTGAAGAGATACCAGCCAGGCATCAGAGCAAGGCACCACCGAACAAGCCCAACCAAAACCAAAAAACCAACACAAACCCAAAACAAAGAAACAAGGAGCCAGGCTCGCATCATACCGTGGCAAGCAAAGCCGAAGCAAAAATGTGAAACAGAGGTGAGACGGGGCCATGAATTCGTTCTTTCTCCAGCGCTCAGTACTGGAAGGTCAAGAAGAGCAAGATCCTTTTTATGGGCAGTGAGTGCTTGTGTGACAAGGTGGGCGCTTGCACATATGCATAAGGAGTGCCCAAGCTTGTGCTGGAGTTTTGGAACGCTGCAGGCCATAACCAGGCGGCAAGGCAATGCGTGACTCAGTTCAAAGACACGATATTGTACACGC